GATTGGTCAGGCACGACTTGCCTTTTGTGAATCCATGCTGACTATTCCTAATCACTTTCCTCTCATCCAAGTGCCTCAAAATGGATTCCTTAAGGATCCCTTCCATGATTTTTCCAGGAACCGAGGTAAGACTGACCGGCCTATAGTTCCCTGGATCATCCTTCTTCCCTTTTCTGAAGATGGGCACTACATTTGCCTCTTTCCAATCATCCGGGATTTCTCCTGATCTCCACAACTTTTCAAAGATAATGGCCAAAGGCTCCTCAATGACATTTGCCAACTCACTCAGTAACCTCGGATGCATTAAGTCCGGACCCATGGATTTGTGTATATTTAGCTTTTTTAAATAGTTCCTAACCTGTTCTTTACCCACCAAGGGCTGTCCATCTTCATCCCATCTTGCGTCACTTAGCGCATTAGTCTGGGAGCCCACCTTGTCTGTGAACTCAGAGTCAAAGAAAGCATTGAGTACTTCAGCTTTCCCCACATCATCTGTCACTAGGTTACCTCCTTCATCCAATAGGGGTCACACACCCTCTCTGATCACCTTCTTAACATGCCTGTAGAAACCTTTCTTGTTATCTTTCACATCCTTAGCCAGTCACAATTCCATTTGCTCTTTCGCCTTCCTGATAACCTCCCAGCATTCTTGAGCTATACATTTAAACCCCTCACTGGTCATTTGTCCAAGTTTCCACTTTTTGTAAGCTTCCTTTTTGTGCTTAAGTTCACCAAGGATTTGCCCTGTAAGCCAGTCAGGTCTCTTACCATGTTTGCCTCTCTTGCTATGCGTCGGGATGGTTTCTTTCTGTGCCTTCAATAAGGCTTCTTTAAAATACTGCCAGCTGTCCTGGATTCCTTTCCCCTTCATGTTAGCATCCCAGGGGGTTCTACCCATCAGATCTCTGAGGAGTCAAAATCTGCTTTTTTGAAGTCCAAGGTGTATATTTTACTGCTCTCTTTTCTTCCTTTGGTAGGGTCCTGGAATCTACCATCTCATGATCACTGCTTCCCAGGTGTCACCCACCTCTACTTCCCCTATTAGTTCCTCCCTGTTTGTGAACAGAAGATCAAGCTGCGCATGGCCCCTAGTCGGATCCTTCAGCACTTGTGCCAAGAAGTTATCCCCAACATTCTCCAAAAACTTCCTGGATTGCCTGTGTACTGCCGTATTGGTTTCCCAACAGATGTCAGGGTGATTAAAGTCCCCCACGAGAACCAGGGCTTGCGATCTGGAAGCTTCTCTCAGTTGTCCGAGGAAAGCCTCATCTACCTCATCCACCTGATTCGGTGGCTTGTAGCAGCCATCAACCACAACATCACTGCTGTTGTTTACTCCTTTAAACTTAACCTATAGTCTCTCAACAAGTTTTTCTCCCTCTGTACTGGAGTTCAGAGCAATCATACTACTCTCTTACATATAGTGCAACTCCTCCTTTTCTCTCCTGCCTGTTCTTCCTGAACAGTCTATACCCTTCCATGACAGTGCTCCAGTCATGCGAGTTATCCCACCAAGTCTCTGTTATCCCAATTAAATCATATTTCTTGGACTGGGCCAGGGCCTCTAGTTCTTCCTGTTTGTTGCCCAGGCTTCTCGCATTAGTGTACAAACACCTCAGAAAACCAGTTGATTGCCCTACCTTTTCCATTCTAATTGGGGTTCTCCTTTGTTGCTTGTTCCTCTTTGAATTTCTTCCCGGTATCCAACTTTCCCGCTCCCCTCAGGGTTTTGATCACCGTCCCCCGACGAACCAAGTTTAAAGCCCTCCTCACTAGGTTTGCAAGCCAGCCCACGAAGATGCTCCTTCCTCTCTTCGTTAGGTGGATCCCATCTCTTCCTAACAATCCTTGTGCCTGGAACAGAGTCCCATGGTTGAAGAAACCAAAGCCCTCTCTGCGACACCACCTGCGCAACCACTCATTTAATTCCTCAATTTGACAATCCCTGCCCAGTCCTTTCCCTTCGACAGGGAGGATGGACGAGAACACCACTTGCGCTCTGAATTCTTGGATCCTTCTTCCCAGCGCTACATAATCTGCAGTAACCCGCTCAAGGTCATTCTTGGCCGTATCATTAGTTCCCACATGGAGAAGCAGGAAGGGGTAGCGATCCGAAGGTTTGATCATTTTGGTAAGCCTCTCAGTCACATCCTGAATGCGAGCTCTTGGTAAGCAGCACACCTCTCGAGATTCTAGGTCCGGACGGCAGATGGATGGCTCAATCCCTCTTAGGAGGGAGTTTCCGACCACCACCACCCATCGTTTTCTTTTGGGGGTGGTGGCCGTGAAACCCCCATCCCTAGGACTACGCATCCCATACATTCTAGTAGATGGTATTCCCTTGCGGTTCCTTCCTTGTGACAGTAGATGGTGTTCCCTTCTGGTTTCTTCCTTGTGAGGTCCCTTCCAAAGCATTCACCACTGCAGAGCCTGTGGAGAGAGCCTGAAAGCGATTACTTACCTCTGTAGCATTGGGGGATTCCCGTGCTGGCCTTTTTCCCCTTCTAGAATTTACATGCTGCCAGTTCTCTTCCTGGTCCCATACTGCCCTCTCTGGCTCTTCCGCCTGCCATGCTTGAAGGATTAAACGCTGCCTTCTATCGAGGAAGTCCTCATCCTCTTTGATCGAGCGTAGGGTCGACACTTGGGCCTCCAGTCCTCTCATTTTTTTTCCCAAGATGGCAACCAGCTTGCACTTAGTGCAGATGAAATCCATTCTTTCTTCCGGGAGGAAGACAAACATGGCACACTCCGTGCAGGTAACAACAGCAGACCTATCACCATCCGTCGCTGCTGTCCTGTTCACAAGCTCCTTGGTCGCTTGCCCACTGGAATCAATTAACCACATTTTAATGTCCTTAGCTGAGAGTGGAGGAGACTGCATGTTGCCTTGCACCCAGCACAGTCATCGCAACTCCCATTTTCCAAATGGCAGCTGGGATGGTGGGGGCCAAGTCCTCTCCCACCTCCAACCTTCCTCGTGCACAGCACAGAGAAATGCATGAAGCAGCCAGAAAGAGGCAGGGAGCCTGTCTGAGGCCGCTTCCTGGGAGCTGCCTAGTAAAGTGCCTCCCGGCCAGAACCTGCCTCTGGCACCCCATCCCTGCCCACACTCTAACTTCCTGCCCTACGTCATCACCCTCTTCTGCCCCAGGCCACCACCCAAACCCTCTGTACCTGCTTGTACAACCCTGCCCCAGTCCAGAATCCTCTCTTGCACCCATACCCCCTCTTTGACCCTGCACTCTCTCCTGCACCTCAGTTCCCTGCTCCAGGTCTCCACCCAAACCCTCTGCACTCCCCCTCCCCAGATCACAGCTCCCTACCAGACCCTGCAACCCCTCCTACATCCCTTTCCCAGGCCAGAATCCTCTCCTGCACCCATTCTCACTCCTGGACCCTGAACCCCAGTCCTTTTACCCCAAGCTCCTTTCTGCACCCAACCTCCATACCAGACCCTACACCCCCTCCATAGAAAAGTGAGGCCCTTGACCACTTTCCAAAATCTTGGAGTGCCCCCGCCTCAAAAAGTATTGTTCACCCCTGATTTAGGTTCACCAGTATCTCCGAAGGAAGAAGGCCCTCTATTGGATCAGCAAGACTACATTCTAAAGCACTCATGGTGTCAATTATCACCTGGCCCAAACATGCTTTGTTCGAGCAATCTTACGGCCTCACAGTACATTGGGACATGACTTCAGTACAGGCAGTCCCCGGGTTACGTACAAGATAGGGACTGTAGGTTTGTTCTTAAGTTGAATTTGTATGTAAGTTGGAACTGGTACATATTGTAGGGGAAACTCTAGCCAAACATTTCTCCAGAGCTCAGTTTTATTCTCCCACACCTCACTTCCCTCAGTCCTTTATTCTCAAGCTGAGGTGTCGGCTGAGAAAAGCCCCTCCGCATCTCCCTGGTCTGCTGAGGGGGGCGGGGCGCTAGCTTCGCGTCTCCCTGGTCTGCCTGGGGGAAGCAGCTAGTGCGGGGTTGCCTCACCCCGTTCGTAAGTAGGGATCCGATGTAAGTCGGATCCATGTAACCCGGGGACTGCCTGTACTTGATTTAAAAGTTTCAGTTCCATCCCTGTGTTTTTTTGCCCATCCAGCTGAGGTCCTTATTGTGTGGCTCACCTTCTGCAATTGATACTGTGCATATTTATGAATTGTTGGGGTTTTTTTTCCAGATCCATGATTACAAAGAGGGGACTCCAGAAGAGAAGACCTACTACATCGAGTTATGGGATGTTGGTGGTTCAGTGGGCAGTGCTAGTAGTGTGAAAAGCACACGGGCGGTGTTTTACAACTCTGTGAATGGTAAAGTATGTTTGGTGTAAATATATTTTTGTTTCCAGCTACGTTCGGATATGAGATATCGCTATTGATTTTGAGTCAGGATTCTCCCAGGTCTTGCTGATCTTATTTTTTCTTCTTAAAAAAAGAAATTAGAAAAAAATGTATAGATTTCTTAAGTCAAACATAGCTGTGTGGAACCAGCTGTGAGCTGGAAAAAGATTCTGAGCAATTATGCAAATGAGCAGAATCCAGCATTTCACTCTGTTTCAGACTTTCTGTGTTCCAGAACTAACACAACAGGGAGTCCTTGAAACTTCAGTAGGGTTTCCTCAGGCTATGCATGCAGTAATGAAGACATGTTTCACTCTTCCAGGCCTCATAAACATGCAGGAACATAATTTTTTTTCTGTCTGTTGGCTGCTTCAGGACCTATGCTTGGAAAAATGTATTGGTTGTAAAATCATTTACAATAGTTCTGCCAGGTATTTGCAGCCCCAGCAGACTGTGGGATATTGTCTCATAAAACATTCTGATTACCATCACGCCTTTTTTCACTTCATCTGCAAAATAGCTTTTAACAGCTGAATCTCACAACCTCCTCCCAGGTAGGAATTAATATTTTATATTAATTGGTAAATGGTATCCTAGTTTTGAAACATGGATTTATATTCTTGTAATTCATAAAACATCATTTAAATTAAAATAGAATAATATAATATATAATGTCCTGTAACCCCTTACTTATGCCATAAGTGAAAACAAGGCAGAGGGAGTTCATGGGGGAAAAAACAAGGCAACCAGAATTAATAACCAGTTTTGAAAATTTTGTCCCAAATATGCTATTTTATTCAAGTTCTTGTTCTATGTCTCTTGTCATGGTATCTTGAGTGCTATTCAGTAGTACATTAAGCAGTGTGGTAAGCATCCATCATGTGTGGTTCCTAGCATTATTTTTCTCTTCCTCTTCCCCCCCAAATGGGGAAATTAAATTTTGGGCTTTTCCAACTGAAGGATGTTGAAGTCTCCACAGAGGTCTGGAGTATTTTAACACCACTGTTGACAAAGTATCACCTATTTTATGAAACACAATACAGGACTATGTAGCACTTTAAAGACTAACAAGATGATTTATTAGATGATGAGCTTTCATGGGCCAGACCCACTTCCTCAGATCAAATAGTGGAAGAAAATAGTCACAGCCATATATACCAAAGGATACAATTAAAAAAAAGTGAACACATATGAAAAGGACAAATCACATTTCAGAACAGAAGGGGGATGCGGGGCGGGGGGGGAGGAAGGTGAATGCCTGTGAGTTAATGATATTAGAGGTGGGGAAGGGTAGATGTCTGTGATTTAATAGTGTTAGAGGTAATAATTAGAGAAGCTATCTTTGTAATGGGGAAGATAGCTGGAGTCTTTGTTCATGCCCCCGCGGAGAGTGTCGAATTTTAGCATGAATGCCAGTTCAGAGGATTCTATTTCAAGTGCAGATTTGAATGTCTTCTGAAGTAGGATGCAGGTGAGTAGGTCATTGAGACCGTGTCCTTTTTGGTTGAAATGGCAAGCAACTGTTTTTTCTTTGTGATCCTGTCTGTCTGTTTTGTGGGCATTGATTCTTTGGCAAAGCGTCTGAGACGTTTGTCCAATGTACATAACAGACGGACACTTTCGGCACATGATAGCATAGATTATATTTCTGGAGGCACAGGAATATGTATTCTTGATCTTATAACTCACTTGGTTAGGCCCAGTAATGGTGTCAGCAGAGTGAATATGTGGACAAAGCTGGCAACGGGGTTTGTTGCAAGGGAAAGTACCAGGGTTGGTATTAGTGTGGTATGTCCTGTGGTTGTTGGTAAGAATCATCTTGAGGTTAGGTGGTTATCTATAGGAGACTATGGGTCTGTCTCCCAGAGCTTCTTGGAGTTTAGTGTCCTGTTCCAGTATAGGCTGTAATTTATTAATAATGTGTTGGACAGGTTTAAGTTGGGAGCTGTAGGTGATGACAAGTGGTGTTCTATTGTTGGTTTTCTTGGGTCTGTCTTGTAGTAGATGGTTTCTAGGTATACAGTTGCTTGCCATTTCAACCAAAAAGGACACTGTCTCAATGACCTGCTCACCTGCATCCTACTTCAGAAGACATTCAAATCTGCACTTGAAAGAGAATCCTCTGAACTGGCATTCATGCTAAAATTCGACACTCTCCGCGGGGGCATGAACAAAGACTCCAGCTATCTTAGCCATTACAAAGATAGCTTCCCTAATTATCACCTCTAACACTATTAACTCACAGACATCTACCCTTCCCCACCTCTAATATCATTAACTCACAAGCATTCACCTTCCTTCCTTCCTTCCTTCCTTCCTTCCTTCCCCCGCATCCCCTTCTGTTCTGAAATGTGATTTGTCCTTTTCATATGTGTTCACTTTTTTAAATTGTATCCTTTGGTATATATGGCTGTGACTATTTTCTTCCACTATTTGATCTGAGGAAGTGGGTCTGGCCCACGAAAGCTTATCATCTAATAAACCAACTTGTTAGTCTTTAAAGTGCTACATAGTCCTGTATTTTGTTTTAGCTACACCAGACTAACACGGCTACATTTCTATCACTATTTTATGAAATCTTTAGTCTTTGGTGGTCTGAAACTGAGCATGAAAGCTATATGAATATTGGTTGTCTTGTTTAGATAGTCAATTGAATTTGTCTAACAATCTTATTCAGGTGCTTTTTGGATCTGATGTAAGAAGAGAAGATGAATGTAGTCCTTTGTCCTGCCTACTTGTCTTTTCTGGGCCTGTGATGGGCTGGAAAACATCAAATTCAGAGGCACCATGCTTATAGTTTAAACCCAGGCCATACTGAGGACTTCGTTGTTGATGAAGTAGTGTGTGGTTTGCTGTTTGCTTACTACAGGTTAAGTGTTAATGAGCTTCAGCTTGAGACCTTGTGGCTTTGTTGCATCTGCTGGCTTGTAGACAAGGTTTTGAACAGGCAATGGGTCTCTCTTGTATCAGGCTTTGTCTCAGTATTGCCCTTTTTTGAGTTGCTCTTCCTAGTCAAATGAGCTTGTGCAGTGGGGTCTCACTGGATGCACAGAAGGTTAAAGAGATCTGTTTGAGCCTGTCTAGCACTGTTGGGGAAAAATCCTTTGCAGCATGGTCTTAAAGAAGTGATAGTTGTGTTGATGGAAAGGTAGCATAATGTTACTGTGTAAGATGGGAGGCGTCTATGGGAAACCAGGTGTGTGAACACAGGAAAAAAAGCTTTCAACGGGATGCAAATGTTGTGAACAAAGGGAATGGTCTTCCCATGTTGATATGTGCACACCAAGAGTGTGTGCTCTTTCCTTGTTTTTAATTACATGGCATATTAAATTCTGGAGAAACCTAGAGGCATCCCCCAAATGCCCATCTCCTTTGGCAGGATTTTGGGAGAAGAAGGTGCTGGCTGCTGCCAGGAATTACTAATTGAATGAGGAGCTCTAGCTGTGGGAGGTTGTGGTCTGAGAAGAGAACAGCTACTGGGATTGGCCTGTAATTTTTCCTACTACTGGGTGTACAGTTGTAAATATCTTGGCAAGGAAAAGGGCCAGAAATTTAACTTTTTAAATACAGGAAATGTTGTTTATGCATGTCTCTACTAGCTATTTGGCAAACTAAGAAAGTTTTCATTTCAATATAACACATTTACCCAGGGTGAAAACCTTTTATTCTACACCAACCCCTCCCCCCTTTACATGGAAAAATACCAGAGTCAAAATGGAATCCCAGTACCAGGTGGTATGGTCACATGGTGGCAGAGCAGGTGAAGGAGGTGGTTACGACACTTCTGTCTTTTTTGCACAAGAGAGTCCCCCTACACAAGGGAAATTCTACAGGGGGAATATCCAACAGGACATTGTGATGGGGTGCAGTTACAGAAGTCCCTTCGGGATTGGTTCCTTGGTGTGCTGATCATGCCACTGATGCCTGCCTTGCTCTCTGGGGCTCCGCTCCGCTCTGTCCTGCTGAGCCAGATCCTCTGGACAAGATATAGGCAAGGCACAGAATTGGGGTTACCATCCCCTGCAGAGCAATGCAGAACACTTCAGCTGTAAGAGGATGCAGTTCTAGGGCACAGCACCCAGGAAACCAGCCCTCAAAAGGAATCAAAATCCCAGATAAATCCGTCCATCCTCTGTGTAAAAGATTTTGCACAGGGAAAGCTCATGAAGATGGTCTTCCTCTTTATCAATGACAGAGAAATGTACATTTCCCCCCAAATAACAATTATTTACACTGGGCCAAATAGTAAACACAAGTATTTTTAATTAAGTACAAACAGTAGGATTTAAGTGTTTGCAAGTGAAAACAGACAGGTCAAAGTAAGTTACTAAATAAAAATGAAAAGACTCATAGTTCTAATTCACTAATAGGGATATGAACAACTAGTCAACTACAGTAGTTGCTTCCCCCCTTTTCTGCTGTCAGAGCCAGCAAGGCATGGGGGAAGAAAAGCGGGTGTGCTTCAAAGTGGGAGCACTATGTGGAGCCTAGGGCCAGACCCTGGACTCCATGCAGCGCTGCTGCTTTGAAATATTGCATGCAGCCTGGGGCCATCTGGGAGTCCCCAGCTGACCCAGGCTGCATGCAGTGTTTCAAAGCGGCATGGCTGTGTGGAGCCTGGGGCCAGTGGGGGAATCTGCCGCTTTGAAATGCCGCGTGGACTCTGATGCTGGGCTCCCCATCGTGTTTCAAAGCAGCAGGGCCGCATGGAACCTGGGGTCAGCTGGGGACTCCCCAGCTGATCCCAAGTTTCATGCGGCACTGCCGCTTTGAAACGCTGTGGGGAGCACGGGGCCAGTGGGAGAGTTACAGGAAAAAGAAAGCTGTTTACAAGTCATTAAGTTGATCACTAAGTCATTAAATTTTGGGAGGGGGACACCAATAATCGTGCTCATTAGCACAATTAAAATTATAAATAGTCTCAATCTTCATATTTCTAACTTCTCATACACATCAAAATAGGATATACAGATCCAGCCAATTGTAACATTAAAATTGATAGGTTACATAAGGTATTTTGTCAAAAACATCTTCGAGTTACACACATTTATATTCATAAGCCAAATTTCATAAAGCGTGCTTGGGAGGGAAATGACACCGTTGCAGGTATGTTCACTTTTTGCTGCATGAAGTGAATGTAGCAAATTGAAAAATCCAGCCCATCATATTCTGGTTACCATAACTCAATCAGCTGAGCCAATTCACCTCTTGTGTTGGAGAAAATTTTCTTCTGCCCCCAAATTCCCACACTTATTGGAATTGGGAGGGACTTCTTAAGAGTTTGGGGGACAAAAAAGGAGCTTATTGTGCAAGTGTTATTGTGATGCTACTGATGATGAAAGATTGGGGTTTTGCCCTTTATGCTGTATAAAGCCAGACTGAAACGTTTCTCTTCAGAAGTAGAAAATCAGGTCTTGTCTGCTCTGGGACTGTAGAATGGAGAACTTGGGAGGGGGGGTATGACATGAAAATATATTACCTGCTCAAAGACTATTTTTAAAGTTGCAAAGTCAAGCACACAGAAGTTAGGAAATACCAGAATTCAGGTTGCCTGTGCAACCTTAATTCAACCCACTTGTGCTTCTCTATTATGATAGTCTGTAATTACTCATTCACATACCATTTTTTGTTCAGGATTCTTGTCTGAGTGTATAGAATGGACAGCACTTACATAGTGAGCAGCTGTTGAATATTTTATTTTTGTCTCCCTGTTCAACATGTAGCCATAGGCCTTATTTACTTCGTGCTATTCAAACTCTGCTATGAAGACATTTATTTCCTCCTACTAGGGATGTTAGCAACTATTTAGCTTATCAACTAGTTCCTCCGCCTCCTTCCCCCTCTTTATCACACAGAGACAGCAAGGGGGGCGGAGCAGGAGCCGGTGCTGCGGGGCAGGAGAGGCAGTACCTCCCAGCACCATCTCCATGGGGGACAGGGGAGGCAGAGGCCCAGTGGGGAAAGGGTGCAAGTGGGGACTGCTTCAGTCTCTGCTCGCTCTGTTCCTACTGCAGGCACTGTTGCTTTTGAAATGTACAAGAGCCCTGCAGAGGCTATCAGAGGCATTGGGGGGGGGGGGGGGGGGAGGGGGGAATAGGGGATGCTACACAAAGCAGCATTTGTCTGCAAGGATCCCAGCAGAGAGCTGGGCCCCCTTGTGGACAGGGGCTGTTGCTGTCAAGCAGCCCCTTGTTCGCGGCAGCCAGGGCTGGGCACGGACAGTGGGCTGCTGCCCAAGCAGCCCCTGCCTACAGCCAGCCCTGGCTGCCCCAAACAGGGGCTGCTGGACTCAGTGCGAGCCGGGACCACGCCTCCTGCATTTTAAATGTAAAAGCTGCTGGGCTGTTATACAGCATTTAAAATGTAGAGCTGCAGTGCAGGTGGCTCCGGAACCTATACGACCCAGAACTCAATTTGGACGCCAAGAATCTGAGGATCACACACATAACTAAACTTTTCATAAGTGATTATTATGTAACTTGCACAGTTCGATGGAGGAACTCCCTAGCAAAGGCAGGGCTAGAGTCAAATTCTCTGGGCAGCATCAACTGCCTTAACTATGAGACCATCCTCTTCCCCCAACTCCTTGTCCAGCTAGTTCCAGTCTTTTTTTCCCCATCCTCCCATTCCTCATCCAGTCTCAGTCTCCCTCCCCTCAACTTCTGTTTCCCCATTCCTTTTCTTATTTTCATCCTCCGCTTCTAATCCTAGTCTGCCTCTGGTCCCTATGCCTGGTGTGCCTCCATCTGAACTCTCAGTCCCAGTTTCCACTTCCCCCTACCATGGTCCAGTCTCAGGCTTTGTCTATGCTCAGAGCATTAAAGTGCTGCCATGGCAGCATTTTCACACAACAGTATGGTTGTGGCTGCAGTTCTATGGGAGAGAGAAACCACCCGTATGAGGGGAGTAGCTAATTGCTTCAGGAGCCTGTTTGCGTTTGTGCTGTACAGTGCTGTAACTTCAGTTAGGGTATGTGTTTTGGTTTTTTCACTTCTGAGCGAGAAAGTTACAGTGCAATAACTTGCCATTGTAGGTAAGCCTTCAGTTTCCATCCACATCAAGGCACTCCTAGTCCCAATCTACTTACCTCCATGCCCTTTCCTAGAAGGCCTGTCCTGTATCCCCAATGCATTAAATCAAACAGCTTACTTCACACGAATTGTGGATAGCAGGAGGGTCATTGAAAACCCAGGAGAGAGAGGCTTCCTGCTCACAGTTCTGGTGCTTGGCCCTGGACCAGTCTAGGGCTGCAATTATGGGGAACAGTCCTGCTCAGCCTAGGTTCATGCATGCCCAGTGTGAATAAAATCTTCAGGGAATTTAGCTACTAAAATTTAAGAAATCTCTTTGGAGCATATGCAAACATTTATTTAAAGGGCTTATATTACAGTGAATTTTGGGCAGATTTTCACAAGAATGACAAAAGGCACATCCCTTAAAAATTGTAAATCCCTCCTTGAAAAGTTGACCTGGCATTTTTTAACAAGGGCAAAACAGTCTATTTTCCCTAGCCTTGTTCTTGGCAATGACTGAAATTGGTTGAACTATTCAAAAGTTATTCCATATTCAGTCTGAGGCAGACATCCAGTGTGGGAAAAGTTCAGCCCAAATGGTTACAGTTTGGCAAAATTATAAGCAATTGAAAACAGGGTCTTATAAAGGGAACTGTCAGGCAGCCTTAATAATGGGCAAGGCTACAAGCCCTGCCTGTAAATGAATGCAACCTCATTCAGTGGGAGAGAAGATTTTTAGATATATTGTTGAAAACTTTGTAGTTTGTTATGCCTTTTCAATTCAAGTGACTCAGAAAAAGAAACATAAACATTATCATTTCTGATAACTTCTAAAGTTAAAAAAACAAGTAAAAAAAGAGGGATATTCTTTTATAACTTCTTTATACACCATTAAAAAACAAAAAGAGCAAAAAACCAATCCCTCCATCCTCTCTCTTCAGGTCCCATTTAACTCTAACACATTTAACCATGCCTCCATAAAGACAAGGCAATTTACAGTACAGGCAGTCCCCGACTTACGTGGATCCGACTTACGTCGGATCCCTAGATACGAACGGGGTGAGGCAACTCCCGCACATGCGCAGCAGCATTCCCGGGGCTCGCTCACCTGGGTCCTAGGATCCTCCTCCTCCTCGGGCCAGCTCCGACTGGGGTCCCGCAGAGCTGCCGGGCAGAGGAAAAGTGCCTCCCCACGCCCGCTGCCCCCCCTGACCCCCCGGCCAGCAACAGGCTGCCCCCTCCCCTGAGCAACAGGCTGCCGAACAGCAGACAAAAGCAGCCTCTCGGCCCCCCCTCCCCCTATACAT